AAGGAAATCTGTACTGAATGATCCTGATGAATACATAGTTTTTTTCTTTGATGCTTACAAGGCACTTCTGCTTTTTTCAGTCGTTTACATATCTCATTCTGACAAAACTAATTTGAGCATAATACATTTTCAGAATTTTAATGTCATAACAGTATAATAAATGTTTAAACACACAGCATTTGAGTAGGCAATTCACACAGCCATCTATGCACATGGATACAAAGTTAACAAGGGAGATTGAAAAAAAGTTATTGATTTTTCCTCATCTATACTTCACAAGCACAAGCAGATTGTCACAGCTTTCATTCTGTAACCACGTTCTACAGCTCCGCAAAACTCACATTAGACATTAGGACCTTTCAGGAAAAGTTGTGAAAATAGTTGAAAATGGCAAACTTGGTCAGGTTATTCTCCTCTCATAAGTGGCTTGCAATTAGGCGTACGTTTTTATAGCTTTTGTTGAATTATTTCTGGTTCCTATCACAGAAACAAGTGGGAAATCAGGATGACCTTCTTGTCACTATATCTTAACTTAAGAAATCACAAAATCTCCGAAAACAGGCTGAAACATCAAGCAGTTCTCTGCACTCCAAAAGTGATGCCAACTACACTTAAAATGGTTAAAAGAGAGAATTTACTCTTCAGAGGAGGAGCCTCCCTTCAGCGGACTTCTGGCATGGATTTTTTTTTTTTTTTAAACCCATGAGCGGTCAGAAATGCCTATTAATAGGATTACCTGAACACACGATGTGAAGTACACAGTTTTGTTCAAATCAGAGACTTCACTCATGGCCAGCTCAATTCAGTTTTTTTTTGCTTCGGAGGCAAGTCATATTGCGTTTCATGCAATTGGACACACAGAATCATCGAGATGAACGTTTAAAAAAACCCAAATAATCTTTGTACAGAAAAATAAAAATTGCAAATCTACGGATTGTATGTGACTACAGCTCTCCATTCCCGGCAGCAGTATTTCCCCCTTGGGAAGACTGCATGCTAGTGGCATTCTATGCATGGATTAGGTAGTATTTCCCAGACTCTGCCTTTTATGTTGTGAGAAAACCACTTCAAGTTATTCATTAAAGTAGTAGTATATGCACTTCATCTGGTGCATAAACAAACCTCTGGACACCCACAGACATGTTTAATCATCCTCAAGCTTTTCAGTCTAAATAAGGCACTAAATATTGTTTTTAAAAATATATATGCACAAACACACACAGACACAATGTGAGCAGCCCTTTCAGCATCAGTATTTGTAGTTTATCATGCTGTTTTGATCAACTTTCACACATGGTGCCATCATTGTTACTTTACATGGAAAAGAGAAGGAGAGTAGCAGAGAAGTAAAGCTGTTCCCAATGCATCTTTATGCTTTCCCTGACCTTCTGCTTGACTGTGAGAAATGAACTACCGTGTCCTCAGAGTAATTTAGTTGCTAGGGATCCCATCCACAGACTGCTCCATTGTGCCATTTGCAAATCAGCCTGCTGGCTAACGTAAAAAACCTGCTGAAGCTAGGGAAATTCATGGTGCACCATAAACACCTATCGCATTTTAACCCACAGCTCTAGGTGAAACACCTTGTTATCTCACTGATCTAAATAGCCTTTTTAAAATTGAGAGATTAGAATGAAAGTCTGTCATGAAATCTAGGTAAGGACAGCAGAAACAAGTTCATTACATACGATAGTAGACTCTCACATTACAGTAACTTCCTTTCATAACTAGATATTACAGGTAAAGAATTTACTGGTTTTGTGCATTTAAACCTTTTTGCAAAACAGTCAAAGAGCAGGCCAGTCGCATACAAAAAGTATTCCAGGTAATCAGTCTCTTAGTTAGCTCAATGTGTCATGTAACACCCTGACTAGATCACAGAGGTTGTAAGAGATGTAAAACATACATTATTACATATTTTAGAGAAAATATTTTTAGTCTTTTTTCATTATGCACAAAGCACAGCCTCAACTGAAAACAGTTTCTGTGCTCTACTGCAGCATTACGTAATCATAAATTATGTAAAAAAAATTATGTGAAATTATGTAAAAAATAAAGAGTAAGAAAATAAATATATCAGACTTATCAGAATGCATAAAAACTGAATGCTAATAAATTAAGCTTTTTGAAAATGGAAAGTCAGGTGCATGAATCAAAGCTCGTTACCACATATATAGCCTATAATCCACTCAGGCATTGACCTTGCCAGAGTTACAAGGGTTATTATACATACAGGTTACTCTTAGCTTGGTATACTTTTTACAAGAGCCACACTTTATCAGGCAAGAAATTACGCATTATGAAAGTCATGCCTTTAGCTTTTGCATTCCTGTGTTTTAATGTAATGGTGGCAGAGTCAGGAAAATTCTACTTGTGTTTTATTCTTACATTCCTCCTATAATGTTATAAAAAGCTCATTCCACAATGTGCACCACCCTGGAAATCTGGAGTGTTCCAAGATTAAGTCTCATCCCATCCCATGAACCTCCTAATTCAACAGTACCATTTCTGCAGCAGTTCCACAAACAAAGGGTGTACAGTTAGCTTTTTTCCCTAATGGCAACAGTGATATCAATAATGCGATTGGATTACTTTCTGTGGCAAAAATTTGCTCTATTATCATAGCCTTTAATAGGCATCTTTAGAATTTGCTTTTATAACTCACCCACTGATATATTCGGATGGCTAAAAAAATAAATTTAGAATGATTAAATCACTTTAACGATGCATTAGAAGATATCTGATCAACGAAGTAGAATTCTCCGTCGGTGTGTCAACAAGTATAAGAAATCAAAACGTATTTTGGCAGATGTAGTAAAGGTTAAGTATGGTTTCATTTCTGGCACGGAAACACAGCAGTGTAGTCACTTCCACTACTAACTCTTCTACCAGAAGGCCCACTTAAAGAGATTTTCATACATTAATGCTTTTGTTTACATGCCATTGAAAAAAATTTGCAAAGCCAGCAATATAACTGTTAATAATTTGACTAACATAGTGCCAAATAGTATTTTAGTGAAGATTACTATTTGCAGATGTAAAATTAAAAAAATACCAACACAGAAGCAAATGAAGTATTTAATCCCAAAGAATACATTACTTTTTGATGTGTTGTCCAGCATTAAATCGGCAAGTCTTCCAAGATCACTTTCTAAAGTACCCTTGTCTGTTGATACCTTGACATGCACACTTAAACGCACAGTTTGTTGAATTACACCCTGTGGCTAGCAAAAATAAGGCGAGATGCAATTTCTGTTGGCACAACAGAACCGACACTGTCGGGACAAACGTTGATTAGCAAAACTAGGACAGATATTATTTTAGAAGGACCTTGTTTTGGAAGTGATTAAAATAAAGGAAAAGAGTGACAATTTGTTAAATTGTTATATCACAGGCCACACTTACATCTTTTCATTCTAAAACCTCAGAATTCATATAGTAATTAGAGACATCTTTTAAGTATACTACTTGGTTTTGCCATAAAATAATTTAAGGGGCAGCCTTCTGCTTCCCAACCCCCTCAAAAAAAAAATCAGCACCTGTCAATATTCAGAAAATAATGGGGAAGGAGAAAAATGGTGATACTAAAAAATAAACTCTTCATTTTAAATATGACATTTTCTCCCTTTTCTTATGTAGGCCTGTGCTTTCATCCATAACTAAGAGTCATGCACCAAATTTAAAAGTAATATTCTTTCTGCACTCCAATAAGGTCATACTCAAATTGCCTGCTACAGAAAACAGCCACACAAAAAGAAACTATTGAGTTTTCTGCATTATTTGAAAGTGTACTCTAGCTCTTCAGATATTTAAGTAAGATATGAAGTATTTAGTGTTAAAAATCAACAGAGTTAAAATAGCAGTCTTCCTTAAGTTGCAATTCCTCCTTTACACTAATGAGTAAGATAAATAGCATGAATGAATTATACTATTTATGTATTACTTGGAAACATATGCCATACATCTTGGATGAAGTGCTGGCTAAAGTAAGTGAACCTATGAATATAGACAGCAAAGTTTTCACTCATTATGATGATTTATCTTCACTTTCAAGAACTGCAATCTGAAGGGGTAGTTTACTGTAATGAATTAAGTTTATTTTCAAATCAGGATTTTGATGATACAGGAAAATATAAAAGGATCTCCATTCTTCTGCTAGGAAAGTTAAGGATTAGAGTTCTCCTGGTAGGGTGCTCTGCAATGAGAGAGAGGACGCGGGGATCTGATCTGAGGTGAAAGAGAGGGTGACAAGAGTTTGGATTTAGCACAGGCACTATTTATCCAGATACCTGCCATCCCTGTCAGAAGGCTGAGATGTGCATTTAGCGTTGGGCACACACCAGGAAGACTTCATGGCACTCCCTGTCGATTTTCTGCTGTTTGAAAGATGCTAGCCCTCCCTGTAGAGCCACTGCCACAGTACTGGTCGGCTCTCATAATGGGAAGCTATTAATAAGAGCTCCTAGGTTGGAGAGGCAGCTATGGGGATCGTCATTGCTGCTGCACGTCCTAGACTTGAGCGGGGAGCTCCCGGTGATCCACTCACAGAACAATTAGTATATGAGCTGTATGCACGCATGAAAATTATTTCCACCTGAGCAACAAGATATCAGTGGTGAGACACAAGCTACACTAGAAAAAACGGGAAGCACAGAGCTCAGGAGGAAACCTAAGGCCAATGTTTATCTTCTTGAATACAGAAATAAAGAAAAAATTCTGCTTGCCTTCTGAAAGAAGGTGATTTGTGTTATGTCCTGTTGTGGGGGAGGTACTTAAATACACAGCAGCATCTCAATATTGAAATCATCTGCTTCACTAACATGTAAATGAAGTACCAGTTCATGATAATCCTTTTTCTTAATCTTTCCAAAATCCCTGAAAAATATGTCAAAACTCCCTGGAGTCCCCTGGAAGTCCATAACAGTTTCCCTAAGGAATGACCAAGCAAGAAGATATTACTCTATAATATCTACTATTTTAAACAAGATTTAGATGTCTACCTTTCCCAAAGACGATGACAGCAGCCTTCCACTCTCTCTTGAGCTGGATCGTGAGGCATTTTTACCCTCACTCATTTCTTTTTCACACCTGGCTAGCTTCTTTTTCATTTTCTCTCTTCTTTGCTGGTCAGCAACTTAGGAAAGGACAAATAAAGTTTATCAGATCCAAATAGAAACTTTTCTCTTTGTTGTAAATGATTTTAAAATGTCATAGGGGTTTCCACTCAGCAAAGTCAGACCATTGTGATACGTTCCACTTCAAACATTCAGCAACTATGAAAAATTACTTTTTTTTTTTTTTTTTAAAATAGAGGTAAAAATATTAGAGTATGCTGGTAGCTGAAGCTAGACAATATTTCACAACTATTACAAAACTACACAGAAATTCCAGGACCAGTACTGTTAACAGAGTAAGCTGCTTGAAAATTCACAAGTCTGCACTCAGACTTACAGAGACAGAACTCCTTTTGCTGAATAGTTGGGTGAGAGTACAGTTAAAAACATGTGTAATGTGAGTAAATTGGCCGTGTACAAAATTCATGCTCACACCATAGAAGAATAGACAGCGGTTTCCCAAGTACAGAAATACACTGCAAAACAGCATGTTCCTGCCAAGAACATAAACAATGAAGGCAGACACTGCGAAAGGGCCACTGCCAGATCAGGAGGGAAAAAGCTTATCAGTTTACACTGGTCTGCAGTCCAAGATCTTGTTCGCACTACCCCTGTAACACAGATGAGTTAGGTATCTGTGCCATCAGGTACCTCAGAGAAGAGCCCAAAAGGTAAATTTTCTAAGTTTGCTATCAGTTACCTACATCTGATATCTTGCATAACATCATGTAAAGTTTTTGCATGTTGTGAGCACACGGGTGCCACAGATGATGAAATCCGCAAAGCTGAATAATCCAATGGAGGCTGCTCAGAAACATCAATAATTTCATTTCCAAATGGGAATATAAGTAACTCCTCCATAAGTAAGCGCATTTTTGAAGTCAGTATGCACAAAGAAACCTGTTTTACTCTTGACTAGATTTCTCAGACCCAAGTTCATACACTACCGTGTAATTTTGTTTCAGATAGACATATGAGGTTGGTTGATACAGAAACACAGACAGAAAGCCTTCACCGACTCCTTCTTCGGATGCATAATGTATTTAGATTGTACTCTGGTGGACCCTAATCTTCACAAGTATTACTACACTTAATACATGGAAATGTAAATACCTTTGTGGATTGCTGTGGTACACTCTAGCTGAGAACCACAGCGATCTGAGGACTACAGCTCAAGTGAATTTTATAGCAACCTCCAAAATACATTTATCTGCGTACATTAATTCTACATATATTTTAATCTCTGAATTATTTAAGTGTGTGTATTCATTTTATTAAACATTTTAGTCCTTTTAAAACTAGAAACGATTATTTCAGATGTAAAATCCTTGTTCTCATTCCTCAGGAAAATCCCTCTTTCTCTTTCGTTCAATCCTTACAATTGACATGTAAAATACAAAGTAATTGCATTACAGTTGCTGATTTCTTCAGCACATTCCATTAGAGTACTTACTATATAAAATTGGTTTTATTACTGAAAAGCCTTTAGCTAAAGTTAAGTTAAATACTACAAATTTGAATAAAAAAATATGGTTTGAAGGAAACAAATATATTGTACCATTACATTGGTTAAAACTCAGTGTTTGCCTTGCTACACTAAATTGTTATGTGGCTATTCTAAATTACTATTATTTCTAATTGCATTTGTCTTGAAGTTACAGCACACTCAGAAATCCGCTAATGGTCAGAAATTTCATATGTTTGAGATAAATAATTACTCAGACTCAGCCAACAGAGGGTTTGTATGTCTGTAAAAAGGCTGTAAAAACACAAGTCTTTCCTACTATTTGGGTAAAAGAGCGAAGTTTGAAACGAGTGTTGAATTAATACCTAGGAAAATATAATGAATGAATTGCAGAGCTCCACAATGCAAAAATACAAGTCATAAAGAACTATAGGTGCCTCATTTTGTAACTGCAAGTAGATGCCTGAAACAGAAATTTTCCTACGCTCAAGTGCTCAGGCGGAAAGTGGATTCATCTAAGACAACACAAGCTGAAACACATTACTGCACGGTCTCCCTATATAACATGGCTTAAGATGAGTTTCTGGACAACTGTGAAGAGGTGAGAATATTAATTCAAAACTAAGTTATTTTGCTTTCCTTATTCTGCTGGTTGCTTTTTAGCTTATACTTTACAGTGGGATTTTTTACCTCTCAAGTGACAGAGGATTGAGACTGAGATTTAACACACCTGGACAGGCACTGTCTTTACTACTGGGGTTCAAAGCTATAAAAGCTAACTTCTGTGGCTCTCCAACATTATTTGCTATTATTATTCTCAGCCAAACCATGCCTTGCGTCTATGCATACAGAAAGAAAGAACAGTAAGCATGCCAGGATGCTATTTTTGGTTGTCAGACTGACTGGGACTACAATCACCTACATGGGAAACGTAAAACCTTTGCCCCACACCAAACATACATTGAGCCCAGCTCAGCTAATCCAGGGTCTGTCCCAAGGCTATAGAGTCTCACACGGGTACCACAAGGCAGAGCAGGCATATGCAAAGCACCTCCCAGAATTTTCAGGCTAGATCTGCTGCAAGAGCTAGGAACTGTAAAAACAGCAAATCCGGAATCAAGAAATTCTTATGCAACAAAGCCAACATAAAGCTAAACAGACAACTCAGTGTAAGTTAGGATAGCCCTGAGGCAGTCAGCAAGCAACACAGACAGGGGCAGAAGCACACACACACACGAAAAAAAAAAAAGCATATTGCCAACCTACCCTTACTGCACATGCCTGTTCCCCAAGCAAAAACTGGAGAATCCAGTCTCTCAGGTTAGCTTTCGCTAGACAGAAACGGTATTGTACAAATGGCCTGAACCTCTGAGGCACTTGTGCCTTTGAGGTACAAGTGTAATTATGACTGAAAGGAGCTGCAGATGCTTAACACTACCGTACAAAATCACATGTGCTACAACTGTGAATATAATAAACACAAAGAATGAGATTGCCATTCAGGGACAAACGTGTATTTTCTCCTTTTTAATACCGCATCTGTTAACTGGATAAGGTTCCTCATCATCCTAGACATCATCTGCTTCAAATCAATCACAGATGTAGTGTCTTTGATTTTCAGTGAGGTTAAATAAACTACGAATTTGACAGGACTGTCGTGGACAAGCATAAAGTAAATATAAACTGAATTCATTACAAGGTACTTAATAATTTCACTGCAAACAGCTTTAACTGTACATTGGCTCAAGAAACCTATCAAATTTGTAAAGTCAAATATGGGGAAAAAAAAATCACGACTATGTATATATTTTGTTACAAATGAAAGGAAAAAGAAAAACTTTTCTTCATCTCTTCTAAAAAGGAAATACTTAGGTATATAGTATACATTTTATAGATCCAAATTACATGAGTCCCTTAGTTAAGCCTTAATAGAGACTTAACGTTTCTCATTAACTGCTGTGCTGAAAACCACCACGAGGATTTACAGTAAAGAGAAAATACATCAGATAATAAACAAAGTACTGATTTTGTATCTCAGATGAATTCAGAGCCTATGAAACTGAACTCCATAACTTATTCCACCCACTCAAGGAATCTGTTCTGTTAATTCTGTTGGCAAGGAGGGGAAGCATAGGAAAAGCTATAAGTTTGGGAAGCTACCTATGAAGTGCTGACCAATCTAATAAAAAACCAACATTTTTGCCTAAGCAAATACCCTTTTCACAAAGTTTACAGTACACTTACAAAGCAGGGATCATCTCTTTATAATATATTTCTCTGCTAGAGTACTCCTTCTACAGGCTTGATTCTTTTCGCCTTAAGCCTAGGTTGCAGCAACGTTTCCTGACACACACTTAGAATTATAAAACTAATGCCATAAAACCTAGAAGCAGCAAAAAAATGTCATACAAATTGCACTCCTAAGCAGTTTGGAGTGCACTCTGCGCATATAAAGACAACATGATTTGAAACGTAGGTGGTCGTCCTTTGCTCTGAATTTCAAATTGCTAAATTTATCATTTATCATATCATGGCACAGTTGGCAGAGTTAACCTTCAAGTTGTTGTATTTTTGATGTAAACAAGCTATGCCACACAACAAAATATTAATTTCGAAATACACATTTAGCTTACAGAACAGCATATCTCAAAAGAATTGTCCAAAACTGACCATTTCTCTGTGGTGTTTTTACTTCAACTGTTCTTACAGTAACGCAGTTCTGGATATTGTTTTCCTTTATGAATTCTCCTAGATAAACAGTGCAAACATCAGCCTCATTTCTGGTGGCCTTGAAATTATCACAGATTAAAATGTTCAGCATATCAGATGTTAACATTACTTTCATAAGCAAGTGTTTCCTTTCATAAGGATTTTTCCTATCCAGCTTCCTATCTCAGTTAGCACAAATCTCCAGTGCATCATTACTTAAACACGTGAGGTGAATTCTCAAAGTCAAATACAGTTTTACCTTTGGGTGCAAAGTTCTGGTTTCTCTGAAGTCTAAATTTAGGTGTATTAACACAGAAATTACAATTTTTGTGATTCTAAGACACGACTCTGCAGTCCTTCCTGACATCTGTTATCAGCGGCACTGTTTGTGAAATAAGGGAGCACTCACCATAAGGAAAGGTGACAGAGGATTTATTAAGGGCTAGAGATTCCTCCAGCCTTGTTTGTATCAAGCAGAACGTTACTCAGAAAAGCAGTGTTTATATCAGTGGGTCCACTTAAGAAATATGATACTACTTGGCAAAGCTACTAGTAGCAGAATCTGGCCGCTGCTAAAGCTTGGAAACGAAGCCTAACAGTGAGACGTGAATCCTTTAGAGGAATTTCAGAAGGGGCTAGAAGCACAGGATTATCCCAAATTTATCCACCTCTGATCCACAAGGGGATCTTGCATACCATCTCGTAGATGCTTCTGCCGGCAGCATGAAGAATACAGAAGCCTGCGCACAGCCTACCGCACCGAAATGGTGAAATGTTGCACCCACACTAAAGAAAGCTTCCAAGCCAACTCAGGTAAACCTTAATCAATGTATTCTAGAGAGAGGTCTGACTGGCTTCTAGGTGGAGTAGGACAACAGGTTTTGGCCAAGGGGCTCACTGGGGCATCCCCCAAGGACAATTTAGACATAGTTTACTAAGCTAATGCTGTGACTAAGTGGAAAACGCATTTTTATTCCAGTTCTGTGGTATGCTAATGGTATTTTGTGAACCTCAGTAAAAGCGGAAAAAGGTACAACAACAATGAAAAAAACCCCCGAAATAGCGGGCAGATGTTAAAGCTGGGTAAATTCAATTAAAAATCAGGGACACATTTTCAGTAATAAAGGTGATTAACTACTGGAACAAACTACAAAGGGAAATGATGTTTCCTTTATTGCTTGATGTTTACCGATCAAGATTACAAGTCTTTTTTGTTTTTCTGCTTTACTATATTCAGCTTGGTCACTGGCTTCAATATTAGCACAAATGGGTGAAACTTTGGTCTGCTTAACGCACGCTGCCCGATTAGATGATCTCATGTCCTTTTGCAACCACAAATTCTACGAAAAATGTATTTCTTGATGTACTGAACATATTTCTTAAAATTAATCACCTCATAAAAAAAGAAAACTTTTCTGTAGAAGAAACTTTACAGTAAATAACCTTTGTTAAAAGAAATTTAAATTACTATAGTTAAAACTACAGATTGATAAAAATCTTTACACATTGGGTTTTCCTGCTCTCCAGAAATTCAGACTTGAGAAATAGGTTGGACTATCTTTCCAAAGACATATCTGAGTTCTGAAAACATAAGTGTTAGAATTACCTGAGTGTTTCCTTTCAAAGGACTTATTTTAGCTGCTTATAGCTTTTGCTTTCAAAAATGCATGTGTACAGACAACACTCGAGAGGAAAGTTAAAGATCAAAAGCAGGGAGATTTTGTGAAAGATTCCTGTAAAACAGCAACAACTGCAAAATACTGAAGCCTGCTTTTCATAGATCCATCCTTTTCATGGCATAAAGTATGGACAGGGATAATGCAAAATATGCATGTGCTCACCTGAAAAATTCAAATTAAAATACAGAATGATATAAGAATAATCATTTCTTCATATTGCATCTTGAACCTAATCCGTATCCCTCCAAGAACTAATAAACCAAAATTACTGGTCACTCTGAATGCTTTCCCCCTGTCCCCCATTCAAGTTTCATCAGTGCTAAAATAGATTTCTAGTGGGTACCTTCTCAGCATACTTTTTTTTTTTTTTTTTTGGTATCGTATCAAAGAGACCTGCATTCCCAAACACTCTGATCACTGGGTTCAAGCTGTACTGTCAATATGCTCTGTGGAAAAACCTCTAAACATATGGGTTGAAAAGTTAGTACTGTTAGAAACCAGACATGTGTAGGAGCAGCTGTCTTACTTGGCATGGCTTTTGTCAAGTTTTCTGGCACAAACTCCACAACTACAGACTTCTAATGGCCACTGGTATCAATCAACATGCTTGGACTAATTCTGAACATAGAAGTTTCACATTTCAAAAAGTTTCACATTTTAACAACTATTTTAAGTCAATAGGGCTGATCTAATACACAAGAACATGTTCACTGCTAGCCCAGTGGCATGGCAGCTTGTCTACTTTGCTGCCAGCTAAGATACCGGGAAAAGAACAGTGGAAACTAAACCCACTTTTAAGGACAGATCGCATTCAGTTGTCCAGGGAGAAAGCCAACTACAGTATCATGTTTAATTCTTAAACACTAATGACTGATTCATGGCAACAACCCCAAAGGGAAATACTCACCTGCTATTTTAGCAGTACATGAAGCACATTCTTAGGTGATGTTTTTTAGCACTATCTGCAGGGATGCTGCTGGTTTGCAACTCTTTATGCTGTTGATAAATCTTAGCATTTCAAACTGAAAATTTACCCAGCCTTCCCAAATCTGTTTTTTGCAATACAGAGGGGAGAAGGAAACCCTAACTGGAATGCAATAAGCAATAAGACAAGGAATAAAAAAAAAAAAGGTATTAATATGGTTCACTTGAGGCAATGACAGGCACAGAGTTACTGGGAGAATAAAGCTGTAACCTCCTTATGAAGCACTGACTAGATCTCAGTCACACTGTGGACATTCCTCTGACATTCAGTCAAGCTGATGTTGCATCTGTGCCTGGATAAATTATAAACCCCAACCCTAGCAAGAAAAGAGAAAGCAATTGGTTTGAAAATACTCTAAAAATTTTTTTCCTACTTTCTTTTCAGTACATTTTGAATACTCTCACTACCTGAGCTATTGGTTGTCATCTCCATATAATCTCTTTTATAAGAGACAGAGGAAGAAAACTTATTATCCAGTTGATCAAAGACACTGCAAATGATACCCGGCATTGCGCTTTACATCTGAATGTTAATATTTGTCAGGAATGTTATCACATTACTGAAATCTATAGTTCTTTTTAAAGAACTATAGATGCATAGAACTATAGGAACCCTATCATTCTGGTTTCAGGTAAGAAATCAGTTCAAATAATTTTCAATTTCTTTCTAAACACCTGCAATTTGTAAGATTTACGCAGATACTTTACAGGTGATTAGCACTATAAAGTGACCTTAGTCAGAAAACAAACATACCAAGAAAGCAGATGAGGAAAAAAAAAAATATATATGCATATGTTGAGTATGGACAATTATTAATCTTCAAATTATTTTTATTAAGAAAGAATAATCTAAAGTAAATGGTAAAAATGCATACAGGAAAATCCTGGGCCTACTGCCGTTCAGGCAGTTTTGCTATTGACCTTCTCGGACCCACAATTTCAGCTCTGGTATCTAAAAACCTCATGCTCCATAGTCAAAAATTTGCCTTTTAAAACTGAATTACCAGGATACATACTTTCAGATGAATTTACTCCTAATCCTGGCAGTGTTCAGATTAGACATCAGGAAAAATCTATTTGCCAGGCAGACACTGTGGCTCTGGAACAGGTTACTCTGGTTGCAGAATCTGCATCCCTGGAGTTTTTCAGGCCTTGGCTGACCCGATCTAGTGTTGGCAAATGTCCTACCTTGAACAGGAAGCTCAAGGAGGAGTAAGTGACCTGTAAAGGTCCCTTTTAACCAACATTTCTATGATTCTAGGGAATAAAGACAGAAGTGGAGCTTCTGAAACATTAGGACAAATGACAGTGCATACTGACTGAGTTGTTGAAGAGAAATCACTAGATAGGAACCTCTATCTGATAGAAGATTCCTCTTCTGAAATGCTAACAGAACCAGCAAGCAAGCCGTAACTTTTAACCTTGTGTCTGGCAAGTGCTGAGAGTCCTAAACGCCAGGGAAATCAAACGCTGAGATATTCTTTCCCTCTCCCAGAGAACATTCTTTCCCTCTCTCTCTCACTAGAGAGCATGAAGAACTTCAGAAAACAAAACCTGAAAACTGGGGGCAGAGACATGATTCTACCTTGAGAACCCACTTTTAGGGAAAAATACAACATTCTTTATTGCTTTTATTAAACAGATTTTTAAAAATGGCAAATTCATTGTCAACTTATAATTGCCTAATTTCTCTCAATGAGAAATATCAAGCAAACACACCATATGTTAGCGCTGAGCTATAACTACAGATAAAAAGCTCTAATCGCATCGAGTATTCAACTTTGGGGGACTGAGAAATAACTCTAACATCTGTTCAAAATTAATCTTGCACTACTAACTAGGATCCCAATCCTTGAGCTATGATGCTCAGCTTCACTTTATAATCAGGCCCTATTTTGGGAGTATGATAAAATTCAATTAATTAACTACTGTCACTCCCAAATCTTAGGCTTTTGAAATATTGAGGGATTTTTTTTCTAATCAAAGGCTTTGGGTTTTTTCCTAGCTTTAAGCTGTTTTCCTTTGTAAACTGGAAACGTCTTTTTCCAGGGCTGTGTTGGTTATATACATGTTCTAATAAAATAAAACACAGCATCAGCTTTTTCCATTCCAATATGAAAATAGGTGAAAGAGCAATTTAGCAAGGATTTAGTGTACCAATTTTATCAAACAGATGGGCAAAAACAAAAGCAGTAACAAAGGTGAAATGTTTCCATCAGCACCTTGTATAGGAGGAGATTAATGTTCTGTCTGTGACCAGAACAGAGTTCCGTAGTCAGACACGGGTCTGAGTAAGACCAACTGGAAGAGAAACATATTGAACTAAGGCTTGTTATCCGAAATGGAAATTTCCTAACTACAGAGCACACCTGCTAGTGTCATGACAATTATCTGCTACGATTAAGGTACTGTTGCTGCCTCCCAAAATGAACCTATTATTCCAGGAAACTCATTTTAGTGTGAAACACACAAGCTCCCAGCTCAGGAGCATTTTATCTGTAAAGACAAATGGGCATTTTCTCATGTTGAGAAAAACTCAAGTCCTGAAACGTATGGAAGAATAATTGTTAATTGGAGAATCTAGGAAAGAGGAAGAAAGAAAAACTACGAGAGGTTTTTTTTTTTTTTAATGCAAACATTTAGGTGTAAATTCCCTTTTAACACCAACCCCATACTTCCATGTTTCAAAGGAACTCTTGGCAGAGCTGAAGCATGGAAAGGAATATTTTTTCAGATGACTCTGCAGAAAAGGTGCGTTACTTTTTTTCCAGAATCTCAGCACTTATAACTAATTGTAATATCGTGAGAAAGGACACAGTAAGTGCTGAAATTCTCCTCTTCTGCTCCAATAACTAAGTGAATGAAAAGGAGCCTAAGCAAAGTTAATTGTAATCCTAAACACAATTAATTACTGACTGGCTAGCTGCTTCTCACTAGCATTATGTTCACTGTAGATTCTTACAGATAGGTGCGGCAGGATGTAAAAAAGCTGAAGAAACAAGCAGATACACATATGCTTAACTAAGAATCACGTTCTGTTGTTCCTCTTCTATTTCCCTTGCTCTTTTGTTTTAAGCTTTTTAAGTTTTAAGCTTTTTCAGAATTAACGTATCACAGATACTTACGTTTGACGCTGGTCAGCCTACTTCTGGGCACTGAACAGTCTACAGCTGCTGAAAGTATGAAAAAGAATAAACGTGAGTGATTCAATATAGATTTATTTATAAGCATTTGTGATGGTTAGAACAAAATGACAGTAAAACAACACTGAACACAGATTAATGCAATTAGAACACAGACGTTTTTCTGTATTTTAAAATATGCTAGCTCCATTCTGTGCATTTAAAGTATTAGACTGATATTAATGTAGTCAGAAAATTTTAGAAATAGAGACAGACATTAGCGAAAAATATAACAAGAAATATTTGAAGGAAGAATTGCTACTTAAATGAAGATTCCCTATAAAAGATTTCTATAAATTATATTTTTCAAAGACAAAAATGTAAGTGCTGACTGCATTTAGATGCATACCTGAAGATACTGACTATGTTAGAGTGGCAGAGAAACAACAGTATGTTGACTCTAAGCATACCAAAAGCCCCAATGTACCCGTCTTTAAAGCAGACTTTAGGAAGGGAAGATATGAGGGGGAAGAGAATCAGTACAACCATCTCCAAAAACCTTTCTCTGAAAATAACTAGAAACAGACCATAAAATGTCGTGGGAGGCACTAAAAAAAAAACCACTTATCTCATATCATGCAAACTTTAATGAATTTAATTTAAACGTCTGGGATATCCTGTCAAGCCCTAGCACTAACATTTCTGGGACTGAAATTCCCAGGACTAGCTTATGCCATGAAGAATGAGATTAGGCTGTGAACTGTGAAGTAAACAACGTTGAAAACTATCTACAGTCTTTTCTTACTACTGCACATGATATTGAATTTTCTAAATACAGTACTTAATGCTCCATATATGACCTTAAAAATTAATTTTGACTATAATACAGTTTATTTTCAGTTCTAGCACTAACAATGGGGAACTATCAATCCATAAGGGAATAACTACACATTTCTAAGTCCAAATAAATTTTGGGCATGATCTTGATATAATTAAGAAATGTGCAAAGTTTTCTTTTAAATTTGTAATTGTAACCTCTTTGTTAAAAAAAAACAAAAACAAAAACAAAATTGTTTTAGAAGCACACAGCAGTTGACAGGTATTTTAAGCTGCATTTTTATTAAAAAATTTTCTGAATTCGACTACTTGATTTTCAGCAGATCTACACTGAAATCTGATCTGACATTCCCTTTTGTATGCAAAAAACCCCACCGCTATGTAGCCAGCACTGCTCATCTCCTCAAATCATACTTGCTTTAGGCCACTGTGGTGTATATATATAACATACAAAAATACAGACCTTTAATGACCACAGAAATTAGAAGTGCTGCTTGATCCTATAGACACATTGAACTGTGAATACTGGCATCTCATAACAGCAGAAGAGAAGTTGAAACTTAATTTTAATGTCATTCTGTAATTACTTGGAGGCTAATCAAGGCAAAAAATTGTGAAACAATAGCTCCTTAGATGCAATGTTATTACCCTAAGTTTTTAACTAGCTTCAACTCACATATTAGAAATATACTACTAATGGTGTCCATGCCAAACCTGCAATTTGCAGGTCTCCCACCAAATTAAGAAAAAGAGAACTGGAAATAACATATACAAACCACAAAATGACCACAAAAGTGGTCATTCGTTTTAACATGCATCCTCTTAAATCAAATAAAGACCATTGTTTGCGTTATCTTCTTGGTTTAATTTGAAATATATCAAGTTCTAGTGATTATTAATAACTGAAAATCATCTGTCTTGTTATCGTACTGTGATAAATACAAATCAGGGAGGCAAGAAAGAAAATGAAGTCTTGAATTCTTAGCTCATAAGGACCAATACGTAACTGCAGTACTATGGAAAGGCAAAGGTTGACTACCTTCTGTGACTACCTTCTGATTATAAGGTGAATTTCACAACATACATCCATGAATCCTTACCTTACCCTAAACAAAAACAATCTCCCTGAAATCTCTCATGTGTATACTCCGCTGTTAGAGGAACACTAAGTTTTACTCAACCTTAGGCTCTCCAGTTTCAGGTTTCATAATACTCATCTTTCAATAATATATAAGTAACTTCTAACATTAAAATATACACAAAGAATAACGTACATTTTTAGTGTTGAATAATACAAATTAGTAACAAGTTATTTTCATTTACAAACACACAGGCGTAATTTTCAAAGTCCATAACACTTACTAGTGCTATTGATTGCAATATGAACTGATGATCATGAGCATCTTCAAAATAAAAACAAAACACCGATCTGAGTTTAACTGAAAATGTTCTGCTTTATTTCTAAGATAAATTCTGTATGGTTGCTATCATGACTATCTCCAAGATTTTTACTTCAGCATATTATTTCATAGTAGTACTACAGCAGAGTGAAGAGAATACAGCACAAAATACCTTGAAATTAAAGTAGTAACTCTGGCAGCGCTTAAAGAAAAAGGTTTTCATACAAAACTTCTAAACCCAATAATACAAAAGGCATTATTAAGCAGCAGCTATGTCTCCTTGCTGCTATCAGTCTGTGTACAAAACGGCAAAAAAACTAAGCATTCTACAATCTGGTCCATTCCCTGTTAATACGAGCCTATTCTGAAAGAACGGGCTAAATCTTGGAGTAGCGGGTTCATATATGCGCATTTTTACCTTTGGCTGAAAGGATTTTGTTATAATGAAACATCAGGTGATCTCTGATCAGGTACTGGTTGGTTAGACTTTGTGAGGAATCAATGCAGAAAGCTACAAAATTAAAACATATTTGAACATTATAAAGACAGGTATAGGAATACCAAAATTTTAAACAATTAACTGCAATTCAAACCCAAAGTCAGGATTTCCAATAACAGCTGGATAGATGTCAATCACCATCAGAAAACGTAAGACAAAAAACCCCTGAAAATGATCTTGCTCATGAGTTTTATCCTGCCAACATTAAACATGACAAGTAGCCAGAGGAAAATTTGCTTTCCTAAGACCAATTCCAGCATCACACTTCTGAAAGACTGTCATGCATGCTTTCATTCCTGTATGCCATCTCTTCCTGCTCCCACTGGTTTAAATCTAGCTTTAGTTCTAGACCACTTTCCTTCTACCTGTGCAAGCTCACTGTCCAACTCCAAAGAAATCACTGCGCGCTTAAGTTCTTTCTTCAATGGGAGTTACTTTTCTTTCTCAGCTAGTATCGTATGAAGCCATCTTATCTCCCTTTTTCTCCATTGAGCCATTAACTCACAATAAACAGCTAAGGAGCAGTTGGACTACGAAAATGTCAGTATGGAAACTTCCCGCTTCTCCATTCTACACTCTTCCGAAAAATGTGTCTCAGGTGACGTTATGGCATATAAACATATAGTAGCCCATTTCCACTACTGACTATAAAGCTATATGTTTAACTAGACGGCTTTTTAAAAAGCAGTTACTTGATACAGTCTAGCTAACATGTGACATATATTTATATATCTTGCTAATGATTTCTAGCTAGCCACAGTTAAGGCAGACTCGTTCTCAAGTCATTTCAGTAAAGCACACTAAATGTAAGTACAGCAATTGAGACCAATACAAAGATTTTTATTATACAAAGATTTTACATCATAAAAGGAATGAATTCACACAAAAGCATCCATGTCAACCTTATTATGAAAGGATGCGTGTTACTTACCATTACTCTTAGTACTTAAGTGTCCTTTAAATGGACTTGCTGGACCACATCTGGGAATGACAACAGCTGGGTGTTCACTCACTTTAACAAAATGTCAGAGAGTTAGAAAAGAGAAAAATACATATTTTGGCAGACAAGAGAAAGCAGAGAATCTTTCCCCAAAGAACTCATGAGTGATCGTAGAGGACCTTTCCTGTAGAAAAATAAACAGATTCAAATGTTATATTATCACTAAAATATAACACTGTAGTTAAGTAACTTAATCCGAATACCAGCGTATGACTGTAGTACGTCCATTGGTTTGTAGAATTAAACAGCAGAATAGACCATTAGATCACTTCAGTTTGAATTTTACATTGGCCTTTAAATTGCACAGAGATACAGCCTAAGTTATGCACCTGTGCTAAAGTTGAATTTGTTTTCAAGTTTTATTGATATAATTTTATCACTATGTCAAATGACTAATACAAAAAGTATTCTCTATGCAGACAATGATTGTGGTTAGTATTATACTAAAATTTGAGTTTAATATTTTGAAAGAAATCAATTATCTTTGTGTAAAAAGCTATCCTATCAATGAGAACTGTCTATTTCAAAAATTCACTGTTGTTAACGTAAGAAGAATTTGGTTTGCTATTCAACAACTCTACGACAAGTGCAGGTGCTGACAAAATTAATTAAATATCTAGTTGTTCTGAGAAATAAAAGAATAGGAATCAGAGGCTCCGCATCTCCTCCTCGAAAATAAACGCTGCTGCGTCAGGCTCACAAGCGCTGTCTGTTGTGCAACCTATGATCTAAAAATCTCCACCCAATTTAATTAAGATTCTGCACAATTTTTAGAACAAATCTTAGAACATGAGATAGATATTTGTATTACTACAGCCATGCCAAAAGACAAGCATGTTCCTGCCACACACTTTAAAAAGCCCCGTAATTCCTCTCTTTCGTGGTCTCTTACCTCCTGCATGCCCAGCACCTGCTTTCCACGTTCTTTCCCATTTTTTATACTGTTATATAGTAAGTGATATAATGTTACTATAACTATATACGTAACATAGTGTCAGACTATTAATTAACAGAGATTGTAGTAAAATAAATTATTCCTTTAATAATCTTTTACACTACTTTCCCCAAAAGCCTTATAAGAGAAGTGTAGTGGTTGTACTAAATTTCAAGTGACTAAGATTAGTTAGGGAAACAACACAATCATAGCTTGTTTAAACCTTAAGGATCTTTAGAAAATAAATAAAATGAAAATCAGTAGCGTACATGAAAGGTTTTAGCGCACTTTCTCGGGGACCCTGTTGTCAAATGACACTAAATGTGAATCAGAAAACTCAGTCCCCATTCTTATAAAGCACAACAAATTATCAAGGTGATCTTGAATTAGTATGAGGATTTCACACTTAGAAAAGCCAGCCTTTATATAGCATGGGCTTGTGAGGCTTAAGTACAGTAGAGCCAGCATCTACAATAATAGTGCTCCCACTACTTTTTGCTGTGGATGTTCCAGACCAGGAGTAGGAAAGGGATAAGAAAAAAAAAAATGAAGAAAAATGATATGTAGATTTTGTTTAATCCCATCCAACAACTTTTTTGTACAATCCCTCCCTAATCTCTACTTGTGATTTAAACATACATAGGGATAAACAGTACTAAATTAATTTTTTTTTAAATATTAAAATTCCAAACATCCAACAAAAAATTACCAAGTTTAGACTAACTGTCTTCACAATGATTGCAAACCTATCAATAACGGTTTTCTTTCTTGTTTAAATATTGTGTTTATCTAGCATTATCTATTACATTTGAGTGGTGCCCATGATCCAACTGGCTATTCACAATGAAAAGCACAACTTCCTAAGGTTAGACTAGCCACATGTTTGAAGAATCTAAGTCTTTGGGAGGACTTAAATCTTAGATTATAAACGTTTTGGCAGCTAAAATAAAAAAAATGAAAGATCGGTAGAAGCCTCTGTAAAAGCTAGAAATCTAGATTAGAGCAGACATAAATATCCGATTCTCTTCAGGTAAGCTACATGCCTTTAGCCTGATTTAAAGTTGATCAAAAATGCTCAGAAATCTGTTGCTCTTACTGTCTTCAGCTGGGGATATACATATGTCTGTACAGAGCTGCTGAAAATTTGGGTGATTTTGAATTTTCTGAGTACTACCAGCAGATGGCACACGGATAAACTGTATCAAATGAACTATTGCATGTTATTCTTTTAGACCTTTACTATAGATCTGTATCAGACTTAAAAATAAAAGCAAGCCCTCTCCACTGCCGACATCCTGCATCATCATTTCATAGGCAAGAAAAAAAGTCAGAAAGGGTAAGGAGAGAGAACTATTTTGCAGTCTCCTATGAATATCTGGATTATGGACAGAGCAGAGATCGCTCACAAGCTATGCAGAAACATCCAATCTACAAAAATCCCCAATCCACTGGAAACCAAACACCACTTGTAAAAAGCTTACGGTCCTTGCACAGACACTTAGGCCTCCCACGCTATGTCCAAGACCTGAGTTCCTCCTACCTGCCATAATTTCTGTGCCACGGAGGAAGGATTTCACGTGCTTTCCAACCCAACTCCTATGAATTGCGGGACGCTCAGTCCTTTTACAGGTATCTTTGAAACTCTCTAAGAAGTAACTCGGCCATTGCAACAGTGACCCATTTGCCAGGAAATGGAGGCCCTTGAATAAAAGTTTTCCTGAACACTCCGATTCTAGGAAGCCCTTGAATTGCCAGGGTCACGGCCACCTTAGCACCCAAACATGACAAAGGCTTTTATGCCATTAACAAATGATACTTTCTTGCAGTTTAGAACACTGTGTCACCAGGGAAAAGGCGTTTTGTTTTGTTTTCAGTTGGATCCTGGTCATTCTATCCTGGCATACTGTACATGTTATTACAGCTTCAATCAGGGAACAGAACAATCTTTAATTTAAAGTATTTCCATAAACAGCACTTGTGAAGGCGGCTTCCTGTGGGGCTCCCGTGATACCCCACGGTGCTTCCTCCTACAGTATCAGCCTCTGGTGCTAAATAATACGAATGAAAATTTTGTAAACTTTTCCATCAAGGAAGGCATCAGAGTCTCTCTTTCTGACAAGCACTCGTTTTCACAAAACTCATAGGAAATCTGTCACAGAAAAAGGCCTCAAAGATACTAATTTGGCTGAAATAACGCTTAATGCCATTGAATAAAGAGACAGAGAACACATCACAAATAAACCTTCAATTTCTTAGGATCCCAGGCTGTTTTCATGTAGACATTCCATCAAAATTACTATTTCTACATTAAATTCAACTTATACTATCCTCCACAAGTCTAAAGTATATCACAGCTCTTTATACTGCTATATGTTTACAACGAAGACAGAAGCTGCTAATGTCAGAGGAGAACCTGGAGGAGCTGGTATGTGGGGGATACGTGATGTATTTTACTGTTTGTTCAAGATGATTGAATTGAGATATAAAGTGTTAACGTGTGAATAGTAATCCTCAGACTCCAGTCGAACAACAAGAGAGTTCAGCTGTTTCACAAACAGAATTTCAGGTTTTCTGCCGACTTGAGCGGGTGTTTGTTTAGTTCCAGTTTGTTCGTTCAAAGTTATCTGCACAGTAGCAAAAAACAAGACCTACGCTGAAGGGTTAGATAACATGAACAGAATTCTAAAGGAGGAGGCGACATTTTCAGCATATTACATAGTTACCAAATATATACCTGATAAAATGACAATAATAAAGCACTATGCTTAGAACTCCTGGACAGCTAAGGGAGTGCAGGTGTACTGCTGTAGGGCTGTGCGCACAGTCAGAGTAGCACGCGCTTTGCCTACTTGATCTCTCTTTTTTTGTTTTTTTGCTTTTTTTCCAAATCCTCTCAGGCAAGTGAGAATTTTTTCAGTGAAAGCTTTCCTACTGATTTTGATGGGCTTGAGATACGCTCTAGAAAAATAAATTATTTGGGAATAGGATCACTTGTCTGAACCGGACTTAGCAGAACTCATCCCAGTTCCTGCAGTACTGGAGCATCTTCAGCAATAATAAAGTTTCCCGACTAAAATGGACGTTTTCTACTTCATGTAATAAAATAATCTATTTTAAACCCTGAGGTCACAAATTTAAGGTGCATGTAAATATACTTCCAGAACTGGACTGAAAACTCTTCAAGACCATTTCACTTAATTTAGGAAATTATGTTCTGAGATTTAAACCAGATAAGCTGAAAAGTCTAATGGACACCTCCCTATCTTTGATTTATCAGATACGTAACTGCAACATCGCTCCATGCATTTCACCAGCGTGGGCAGCGTGGACTATCCACACTACCTCTGTAACACCAGGCTTCTCATATTGTGTGTTCTTCTAAAGTAGAGCGAGCAAACAAAGTAAATAATAATAATAATAATTAGATATTTTAGTTCCTTATTAACGCTTGTATTTCTTCCTTTTGTAGGCTTTCTCTGCAAGTGTGGGACACTATACAGGGATAAAGGGAAAAATGAAAAAAAGAAACCTTTCTCAGTTTCCAGTTGGTCCCCAAGCTAAGTAAGAATTACATTATTCCAAAGACATTCTTAAGATATTATGTCAAAATGATGTTTTCACTTTCCTTTAAAAATGCATCCTATATTACCTTCCTATTTTACAGTCTTATAAATCATCAAAATTGGTGGTTTGTATTTGTTACTTTGTTTCCTATTGCTTTCTTCCTATTAGCAGATATACATAATTTATAGAAATTATTTTTCTACAAAGCCATTTCAGATCTGCAACACAAATTTGTACTGGAAACAAGCCCAGTCTTTCATTATAGTGTTCTCATAGCAGGGATTTGAAACACAAGTATTAAACTTGCTATTTTTACAACAAACCACAATTTCAGCTATATTAAGTCAAAAAAAGCTGAAAAATTTCAATCAGGCTACACTTACCCACCAAGACTTGTTATTTAAAATATAATCCACTAAAAATAGAGACACCATAGGTGGGACATCAGATACAGGAACGCAGATCCAGCACTACACGCCACCAAACCTCCACTTAACTGTGCAGAGAAGCGTAA